GCACGGTTGATGAGAAAAGCTCTCGGAAAGATTACCTCGGCATAGACGCTTCGAGCAGTTAGTGCGACCGGAATTTAACTCGATCTTATTGCACCGCGCTGTTCTTTATTGTGGCCAGAGATATAACGGAAGCCATTCTTGCCGTATTGCACTCATCAAAACGCACATTAACGTTATTACGGTGTACCTACAAGTAATATCTCTTGCGAAATAACGGAGCCATATATGGCTTATCCCTCTCTGTGATTTCGAGGAGCAACGAGGATGCTTTCTCGAGGAGGTTACGCGGACACACATTTGTTATTGAAAAAGATTACTCGCGAAACGCGTGGAGTAAATGGAAGTTATTCTAATGCCGAGTAACGGAAAACTTCGTAGAGGACTCATTTCAAAGGCCTGAAACCTTAAACGTATTGCTAAAGATGGCTAATCGAGATGGTTGATATCGTTTATTGCTGGAATTCGCAATTCACCCCTGTTTGTATTCCTCCGCTATGATCGATAGCTTCATCAACCTGCGTTAGAACTTATCGACTTGGTGAAAAAGTATGTGGGCGGAGTGTAGGCCACGGGGACGTAATACCCAGCGCAAACTCAGCCTGGAAAAGTTTCCCTGAAACGCGACCATGCCAGCGTAAACGTACGATGCAACGGTTATGATTTATTTATCTAGACGAGAAACTCGGGGTTGACGGTGATGCCAGAAATCCCGGTGTTTTCCGGTTGAGCGTCGCGTTTATGCAAATCGAACAGAAAAAAGCTTTTATTCTAACGATCGCGCGAGCGGAACGCTCCATTTTCGATGAATGTTTCAGGTATCGCGGTGCAAAGGTACATGAGAAACGGTTTACGTAGTCCACGGGGTAACGAAATTCATTTCGTCTCTGCAGGCACATTTTTGGGAAGATAAATTAGCTTATTCGCGGAATACGCGCTCGACGGACGATAATCGCACGTGAGTAATCGTCGATTATATTCGCAGCGGGCGACTTGGAATAACGCGATGCAAATGACGGAGGACAACGACGAGGTGAGTTTAGGATACCTAATCCCGACACAAATACGCTCGAATTAATCGTGAATCATCGAAAATGTAGCAGCTAACGATTATTTACAATCCGACGTGATACGTGAGTCGCGTAGGCAACAATACATTATGTGCGACAGCTCTGTTGGCGGAACCCTTCGATGGTTGATCGTACGATAATTTTTGGACAAATATTTGAAACGGCGAAAAAGCATGCACGAGTTCGTGAAATAAATTATAAGTACGATTGTTTAACAATTTGGGAGGTAAGAAATGTCTTTTGTTGGAGACAGTTTTCGTGACTGGGTGAATGTCAATAGCATGTCAACTTTGGAGGTCCGTGCTTTTTTAATGATTTCGAAACTATGATGACCATGATGACATGATGCGGAACCAGCAATGGACCAGTATAATTACAACGAAACTACATCAAATATGTAAATCAACGGGAGAAACTATTTCATTACCTCCAACAAGAAAACTTCAAACCACATTACCAAGATTAAGAATCGGACATACTATCCTGATATAAATATTTAATTACAAAATCGGAACTATCAAAATGCAACACATGACGAAGAATAGTTCATAATGGTTTATAGATTTATTTATCCAGACGATATATTAAACTGGAATACAATGATGAGCGCGTTTCCTATGTACAATGAGTACTGTGAAAAACAAGGAGCATCGCGGAAACACCCTTTTGCCGGCGAGGGATAACAGTGGGGATTGTACAGAGTTATCTCGAATTATCGCCGCTTATTCCGCCGCTTTGCTCGGTGCACGCGAACGCCGAGAGGGTAACCCAGCTGACAGACTGTTTCCAAACTTCCCTGCTGCTTCTTCGCCTTCCGTGGTCCTCTCAGCTCGTTGGCTGGGTCGAAATTCGCCGAAGGAACTCGGCCAACTACTCGACAGAAAGAGAAAATGGGTGACGGGTAGCGATGGAGACGCGTTCTGGTAGTTCAAGGTGTTTCCGTGAATTTGAGTCAAGTCCGATAACCAAGTTCTGTTTAGATAACGTGTTAATAGGTTCCAATTTATACTCAACATTGAGATTGATGAGAGTGTTGGTTTGCTAAACGTTAGTAGCATCGAGCAGCATAGCCACATTTTCGTTAAATTATTCCTCACTAACAATTCATTGGAAAGACATTATAAATAGTTCAACGCGTTGGTCGTCACGAAACTCAGAAATGGATGACAGGATTTTTCATTAAGGAACTAGAAAATTCCAAAGGTCAGGCGTTATTAAAAATAAATGTGGATAGGATTCGCGAGTTTGACGAGATTAAGAAATTAAATGCTACACCAAATGTTATGTTATCTAATCTTCCACAGTCTCGAGACAAAATTTTAACTTGGTAGAAATTTTCATGAGTTTCAGTCTGGCAACCAATGTGTTAAAAGAAGAGGTATAATTATATATTTAATTTTCCCCTTCGTTCTAAAGCTCACGATGAACAACAATTAAATTGTAAAATAGCATACGAACCCTCTTCCTCTCATAAGGAAGAATGCATTGAAAAATGTAAGAAAAACGGTGTGTCTAAATCTCATTCGGTAATGATTGATCAAAAATCCTTTGTTCCATCGCTAGTGGTGAGGCTTGGCGCAAAGCGAGCACGAAAACAGACAGTTTCCGGTTTCTTGGACACATCCCTTGCGGAAAGTTTTGATTCGCAGACACGCCCGATCCGGATCCGACCGAAGTAACTTGATTTTCGGAACGGCTTGTCATCTCTCGGCTACGACTGGCCCTATCCTCTCTCGCGGATACGATAACCTAGCCCACTCCTATCTGCGGTTCTTTATACCCGTTCCCCGTCTTTGTTCTTTCCACGGGTCCATTGTTTCGCCTCCTTTCTTCCTTCTTGGCTCGCGCGCTCCTCTTTCACCCTCTACCTCCCGCAGTTGCATCCCCTATTCCTCCCTTCGACAGAATCGAATTCTGCTGGATATAAAGCGCTCTCCGCGCTGATCGGTGTCGAAATGGACCTGTTACGTCAAACCATATTCGTGCTCCATCGGTTTCTCGTTACGTGCATTCCGAGTTTGGTTCGTCGATTATTGGGTGAACTTCCGCGATGATTCGAATCCACCGAACGGAGGGCCTGGCTGTTCTAGATAATTTCTTGGCTCGATGAACGTTCGGACGTGGTAGCAATTACATGAATCGAATCTGCGTGACGAAGGGACATCTGGAGGGAATGGAGCATTTCGTAAGAAACGCGTGAGTTACGGTGCTCGAGGATCTATTGGGTTGTCTGAAAAGTACATGTCGATTTTTGGTAGTTGGTACGTGTCTGAATATATCGGAATGGCTGAAAACGAATAGCATTTATACATCTCTGAACAGATGGAAAGGTGGAAACATTTTGTGGAACAAAATGGTACCTATATAACTCAAGGAATATATATCAAAATTCAAATATGCCCTTGAAGTTTTCTTAAAAAATTGCACGAACTTTCTAGACAACCTAATACATCATTAGAGACTCGAAGAAGAATAGATACTATTGTTCAATGAGAATATGAATATTCATTATAAAATATGAAACTTTTTGCAACTTCAAACACATTAACTTTGATATCATAAAAAAAACTCACGTTTTCCCAGCATAGGCTTCTGTCCTAAATTCACATTTACAGTGAAACCGTGGCGAATACCAAAATATTTGGAAGCTGACAACCACGCGAAGAATGGCGCCAGGTATCGCTTCGTCCAGCGACACTGCGGCGGCAAACATGTTAATTGCATAGTGGGGCGGAATATTTTGAACAACGTGGGCTCGATGCTTAACGTTGAGAGATCGCGTGGCAGGTTAATTAAATACTTTGTGCTGGGATTTGTACGGTTAAATTTCATAGTGCCCAGGAAATTCTAATTAATCCTCGCGCTACGAGCAGCGTAGAAACGTTGAATGCTTTGGCACACAAAGCACGATATGTTGTAGGCATCCCATTTGTTTCCAACATGGAAGGTCATCCTCGCAGAATCCACGTTGCATCGCGACGAGATAGGAATGGAGGGGGACGGGAGATGGGGGATGATAGGAAGCCGAAATGTAAGGAAAATCACGAAGCGCGGGTGAGATGGAGCGAGACAGGGACCGGGGCGAGAGAGACACGCGTAGACGCAACAATCTTCTCCTTTCCCTGCCCACGTACTTCAGTTAGCTTGCATTATAAGCTGGAAATTTAGCGCTACCCTGGGATCAACCGCTCCCGAGAACCGTACCACTTCCTAGCGACGACCCTAATAATGCCATTAGATACATCGCGAATCCCTAATCTGGGGTTAGAAACTTGCATAATTCTCGACCGGGGCGGCTCGCTTGAGTTTGCTACTTCAAACTTGCCCGCCGAAACTCGCGGCAGTATTCCAAAATTGCTGGAATATTATGACGCTCGAATAAGTTTGCCCTCGATCATCAGCGAGGGACCGTTTCGCGAAATGTTCGCGATTCGTGGAGACCGTGAACCGATTGTTCCACGGGACGGAGATGATTAGAAACGGTGACCATTGTTTGATGTCGTGGGGATCACAGTGTATAATTTCAATTGTCTTTCAGGGTATGAAACTCTGAGGTCTTTTCATGTCATACTACAATATTTTATTTTATATTATATCTAATCGTTTTTGTAGAAATTCTTTCAAAAACTGATGGTGTTTTATTATATATCTGGACATGAATTACTACAAATGGTTTCTGTTGTGCGAGAAATAAAAATGATTACAATGAACTATGGCAAAGGTAGTATTTTCTTTATCTACTCAAGACATTCTTCTGGTCACCTCGAAAGCTATTCTCAAAATGCTTCTATTCTCACGACCTCCCAAAAATGCCTGCAATAATTTCAATTCTATTAATTTACAAATATAAATGAAAGTATACATTTCACGTCTATAACAGGTTTTCAACGAAGATTCTCACCTTAAAAAATTCACAACTTTTACCCATTCCAGGTGTATGTGCTCCCGAGGGTTGTTCTTAGTGCATCTGCAATGTGAGCATTCGGCACGTGGACGTCCCCGATTCGCTCGGAGAACAACGTGCAGGATATCGGCAGCCTGGTAATGATAGCTCTGCCCGCAGTAATTACTTTATCGATACGATACGCTACACTGCGATTTTTCTCAATTTCTTCGCTTATATCCCCAAGGTTCCGCTATCCCTCTCGAGAAGCTCGGAGGATTTATTTATAGAGTTTCTATTGCGAACATAAGTTTGTCAGGCAAGGACGGGACCGTGGAGGAACGAGGAGAGAGCGAGGAAGAAAAAACAGTGGATTGAAAGGGGTGCGAGCAGGACGGCGGCGGTACGATGGGTTTTATATGTATGTATAGATATATAGAGGGGTAGTATCACTGGAACGTTACGGAAAATCACAAGGGACGGACGACGCTTTCAGGAACTTCAGGCTCTTGGCCATTTTCCCTCTTTTTCTGTCTATTCTGTGTACCTTGTCTTATTTTTCCTCCCTTTCGTTCCTCTTTGTCGCGCAGCTCTATCGTTAGGATCACCCCTACTTTCACTGCGTATCTGGCACGGTGGTCGCCGCTAGTCGCACCCCTTTTAAATAACACTGTATCCGATCCTATTATTTCGCATTGAATTTCAAACTCGTGGCTCGGGATGCACCTTTTGATCGCGTATCCGGAGACAATCGCAGCTTAAGAGTTCTCTTATACTTCATTTTTATTCCTTTGCTCTTTGTATCTTTCTTGCAATTTAAAGAGAACGTTCGAAATTTTCTTTTCATTTATTCTTTAAAGTATCTTAGGAAATATCGTTGGGGAAACGTATCGATAGCTGTTACTTGGATTTATTTCTCATTTCCTTTTGTATGCCCTTTTTATTACGATGCATAGGCTGACGTGATTTCATATTCAGGATCGCTTCTCTTTGAATTTATTTCAGAACAATATTTCTCTGCAATATCGCATTTTCTTATTATCCGTACTTCTCTTTGTGTTCTTGGAGGATCAGGATAGTCGCACGGTACTTGCTAATTAATTTTCGCGGCAATTAAGGAAATGAATTTCGGTATCTATAGACCAGACTTGGACACTTTTGGAATAATATTATTTGAAATAATATATTGGACGTAATTTTAATTAGTCTTGGAGCAATTATGAAATTTCTCGATTGCTCCAAAGCCAATTAAAATTACGTCTACTTCATCGTTCGAGTTACTGAACAAATGAAGAGCACACTGTTCCAATTTTACTATCTAAATTATCACCTCAAATAATATTATTTCACTGTTGTAACATGTTTCAAATCTAATTGCGTTGCTTTATTTTACGAAACATCGTTGAAAATAATATTTTCGTGTGTAAAATACTGAAATAACGAAAAACAGTACAAATAACCGTCGTATTCCGACAATATAACGATGAAAAACTTCTTAATTAACCAAATTGCCAATCTCTTTGCCTCATTAAAATGGTACAAATATTCTTCAGTGATATTTTATATATCCATCGACCATCATATGTGCAGTTTTATATATACTACGTGGTAATGATTTATATGTATAAATCACACAGGTCGTTTTCTGTTCGAATTTTTAGACGAGCGTATATACATATCTTTTCGTTTCACAAATGATTACAGTTACATTTCTAAATTAATTTAACGTGCCTGTTGTTCGTAGTAATTAAATGAATTCAATATATTAAATACCCATTATTTCAATGAAATCGATGTTTCGGTTATTTCCAAATAAATATGAGGAAAACGGAAGAGCCGAATGATATTTTATATGTTTGTTTGAAATCAAATCTGCCATGGTCTGTTAATCTTGATTCAATTTTTACATTTCATCGACGTTAACGCTAGTCAATCGATTCCGAATATATTCCTGTCGCTTTGAGCGCTCGGATGTCGTCCACTCTTGGTGTCAGTGAATCAGTCGGTGGCACTATCGGTTCGCGATGCATTCCTGAATTCTGCATTCCAACTTCTCACCCTTCTCTGCTTCCACAGAGATCATGCTCCTTCTCATCCGAGTTCTCTCTTGCTTCAGGCATGAATAAGTGGACGCGACTCAAGAAACTTTCCTACCAGACCCTGTGCTTGATTGAGATTCCTCATCGTACTAATTCCTCCTTATGAATCCTTCGGGATCCGGTAATGACTGCGTTTCCCTACCGTATACTTATTAATTACATTATTACTGCAGACTCAACTCCTTATTTAACGTAATGCGCGTTTCTAAAGAGCGGGCAGTTTTTCTTCTTTGTAATCTGGAGCCAGGGGTGGAGAAAATTGTGTTAATAATAAGCGAGGAGCACCAAACGTTTAAAGTTTTATTGCGTCTTTTCCTTCTTGATTCTGCGATGGAAATTTTTTATTTTGGGTACTAATGGTTTCTATTTTAAATTCTCTATCTAGAAATTGTTTGTATACATCCTTGTATAAGATTATGATTTTGATTTTGTAGTATTACAAGCTTCGTGTCAGAGTATTTTCATTGATTCGAATTAAATTTAAATGATTAATTAGCAGTGTCTACATTTTCAATGGATCTATCACATTAACTGCATTTTTTATGTCACTAAAATTGAATTGAATTTTCTGGACTAAGATCGAAGTTTATTTTGATAAAGTTGTGATAAAAGTTTGTAATGCTATGGGAGTACTGTATGAAGTAAAATCGATCACGTCAAAGTTTATGCACATGAACTGGCAGAACGGCTTTAGGCGAGAATAACTTAATGGTGGTTTCACTTGTAACATTACGCACCACACAATTTACAAATTCACCCCTGGGCGATACCTGCGGTTCCATGATGATGCATTTCGGTATGCTTCATGTTTCGGCTGTTTCCTTAATAACCATAACTAATTCGCCATAGTTTCCTTTATCTAATCGCTAAATTCGAAAACACCGTTACTTCGTAAATCAGAATTTAAATAATAGCATACGGAACTGTTTTCCAGAATAGTTCGGTGGAATAGTTTCCAGGAAATATATCTACAGCCCACTGCTTTGTGCATTTGTTAAAATTTAAAATTAATTTTCACATTTCATGAAATTGAGATTGGTAATGACATAAATGTAATATCTACATGAGCGATTAAATATTCTTGAACATTAAACCTCCTAGCTATATAAATGATTTATTCGTTTTTCGACGTTCGATGGAATATTCTACAAGCGATTTCCATGTGCTAAATGGCATTAAAATTTTGTAGGATAATTGCTACGAATGAGGCTCTCTCTGCTAATACTTATGAAAATAAAATTAAGACCAAACAAAGTTTTTATCGTAGAATAATCCGCTTATCTTTTACTTTAAGAAGTAAGTTTTTCCTTTCACTATATATATGTGTACACGTTTTAGTTTATGGAAATCGTTTAACACCAATGAGTGGCTCGTTGCGACAACGATCCCGACTTTGCGTTCGTCATTCGGTAAATAATGCACCGCGTGCGCACTTACATGGCGGTTCGCAGACTGAGAGTTCACCATGTGTCCGATCCGAGTAATAAATTATTAGATCAATTACAGTTATTACTTTATTCCAGCTCGACGCTTCGGAAGTTTGCGCGAAGCTGAGCTAGTTCGTTACCCTGGCAATTCTGCGGCTCGAGCGAAAACCGACGGAGTGCGAAGCTCGGCTAAAGTATTCCGCGAAAAACAAACAGCATAAGGTAAACGGCGAAGATCTCCGTTATTTTTCACCAGCGTTCGTCCAAGTCGAACGGGGCCTCTCTTTTTGTTTAATTCGGCCCCTGTATAATTTTACTCTTGAGCGTGATCAAACGGGAGGGAAAAAGTTGGCTGCTCGATTGTCGGATGCGCGGGAGAGTTCGAGGAAATAGTTCCCTATTGGTTTACTCTCGGCACTGTTCGCTCTTTTTTGCGATATCGACTTGTTAATTTGGGATTCGAAAGCATACCTTCTCGTTAGGCATTGGGTATCTAACTGATAGTCAAAATGTGAAATGATATCCTTAAAAAATTGATCGTTTGACATTTTTGGTTACTCGATCTTAGAATTAAAAATTTACATGAAAATCGAAGAAAAATTGATTCGATTTAGTAGGTAATATGCATGGTTAATAGAGGCATAGAATGTTTATACAACTACACACATTATTCCCAACTGGATAGTTTAGTTGTCCATTCCAATATGCACAAGTAATTTATACTAGCAAATGATAAGAAAGTTCGTAATAGTTTGCATGTTAATACGTACGAAAGTCATTAGAATCGTCGAAAGTGACACTAATTTCAGCGAAGTGAAATATTGCAAAAGAATGTGGAACGTCTGTGATCGTCCGCGTAACGTATCGTCCATTGCCGTGGTCGCGACAGAGTCGAGGGTTCATCAATTGCGAATCGTCGTTATTTAAGTAATACCAGAGGGGCGCGAAGTGTAACATAACTGGCACCCGGCCACGTTTAACAAATTCAAGATTTTCTTGGCTTTTTTATTGTCGTTCGGTTATATCTCCGGCTCGCACCGTCGGTAGGGGCGCGGTTCGTTAATATAAAAGAATTGAAGGGTGCTGGTGAATGAATTCGCTTTAACGACCAGCGGAGAGTGTCGTTTGCCGGAAACGACGGTAGCCGAATCAACGACGAATCGTTCGAGTACCCTGAGACCTTTCGTAGCGCTACCAGAAAGAGCACTCGATGAATCGAGAGACTTCTCGATTACTTCGGGGGCGCCGGCACTGTTGCTGCCATTTCTATGTTTTTGGACATTTCTGACATTCTTTGATACATCTTCCAACGCTCGAACCCTTGTACAAATGATTTGACGATGCGGTTCGAATTGAATCAAAGCCAGATTCGACAGTCGAATTTCACTAATCAAAATTTTTTAGGTTGAATAAATTTACTTTGTTATTTCAACCTCACCATTACACACTATTAATATTTTTAAGCATGCACTGAAGTCAAAAGCTCATGTTAAAAATAGTTATTTCGAGTGGGTGTAATAAAAATGCACTCGTTTTTACACATTTTGTTTAGTTGCCTATGACGTTCTTCACACAACAATACTGTGTGTTTTCGCTACATGCAAATGACATCTAATGGTCTATGTAGACGGA